CTTCTTCTCCAGACCCTTGCCCACACCCCCCACCCGTCCTCCCTACCCCCTCCCCGGGCCCCCTCCCCGACCTCCCCCGCCTCCTCCGTCAATAAGCAGCGAACAGCAGCAGTTGGGGTGGGTGAGGATCTCCTTGGCGATGGCGGGGTCGATGGAGATGACGGCGGGGATGGAGCCCACGGAGAAGGCGAGGAGCTGGGTGGATTTGTGGGTGCGGGCGAGTCGGGCAAGGGTGCGGTGTGGTTGGCCACGGGTGAGGGAGATGAGAGAGCCTAGCACAGGGAGGCCTCTTGGTCCGCGGAGCTGGGTTTGTCCTATTTGGGTGCGGTTGTTCTCGGCCTCGACCTTAGCTGCTCCGCCGGCGCCGCCTTCAGTCCCCACTTCCTGTTCTTATTCTTGTAAGCCAGCGCCAGGCACATGGACGTGAACAGCAGCAGCGGCCCCGTGGTAGGTAAGTTGATTCGACCCAATGCAAATTTTTATCACACATACATATATATACTTACATCTTTGTCATTATCTGTTAGTGTAGGTAAGTTGATGTGTATTTGAGAAATGTGCAGAGTGAAAAGAGATCCAGCCAGAGTAGCAGTATTCTTAATCACACAAACAACATCATCACCCTTCAACTCAGCAACCTGCAAAATGAATGAAGGCAAAGAGTTTGCATAAGACAGCAACATGGGAAATAAAGCCATATTTTGATACGGGTATTATGATAATCTTATTGCAAATACATCCCTGACTTGTTACTAAACCCATCTTTTTTAGGTATGTGCATTCAGCATCTTACCAGCATGCACAACAAGCATTTGAAGCTGCAAAAGCCATCAATGATATTAATGCGATTGCAAGCATCTTAGCACATTATCCTTACCATATTGAATCCCTGCTGACTTTTGCTGAGTTATACAAGTATTCAGGAGAACATCAGGCATCTGCAGATGCCATTTCAAAGTGTAATTTGTTACGATTGTATGTAAAATATATTGTGGCTGTCATGTGAATATATTGTGTCTATTTAGTGATCAATTTTGGTGTAATTTGTTACGATTGTATGTGAAATATAGTGTGGCTGTCATGTGAATATGTACAACTTCTTTCAAATAGAACTTGATGAGCATAATAAACTGAAGATTATATATAAATTATGTTTATCAAAACCTGAATATTATGATACATAATATGTACATAATCTTGAGGTTATTGTGTACATAATATATACAAATCATGTATATAATCTTCAAGTTACAATACACTATTAAATCTCATTATATATAAGCTTCACCATTCTACCAATCTGAAGAAGATAGAATGGTGAAGCTTCTTCAGATTGCATTAAAGTGCATATACAAATCTGCCGATGCTCGACCAACTATGAGTCAAGTTGCCGAGATGATACATTCATTGAAGGAAGAAGATGATAGATCTGTTGTGTCTGAAATTGATTCAAGAGATGCTTAAAATTGGGGAGTTTGTTTTTATAATGTCCTGGAATTTATGTATATGTTCCGTTTGACTATTATCATTTGCTAGTGTATATGTGTTGGTCACATATGAGGAGGTGGAAAACATTATTTATTTGTTACACTGATGACATAGGTGATATTAGTCCAAATGGTGCTTTCAAACTCAAATTTAATAAATGAGGATGTCTATTTCTTGTTGATTTCTTTTTTCATGGTATCCTTGACATTAAAAATTAAATAGATTCTTGTCACATATTTTTGTTAATGGACTGTGGTAGAGACACTAATTGCATTATTTCAAATAATGATGGGTCATCTCCGTGTTGCCAGTCCAAATGGCACTTTCAAGTTGAAATTTGACAAAACCTAGCACTGATTTGCATGAAGTGTGTACTCATAACACGTTAAGTTTCAACTAACCATGTTAACGTTCATCATAACATGCTAACTTTCAGCTGAACATGTTAACTTTCATCATAATATGTTAACATTTCCTATTACATGTTAACTTTCATCATAATATATTAAATTGAAGCTATAATAGTTACATGTTAAGATTATTGAGTTCTTGTATATCTTTGGCAGAAAAACTAGCAGAAAAACAAAAGGGAAAAATAAAAACAGGAGAAAGAAATGGGAAAATGTTAACTATAATAGTTCTATGTTGACTTTTAGAATAACGTGTTAACTTTCATCCTAGTATGTTAACTTTTCATATTGAATGTTAACTTTTGCTGCTTTATGTTAACTTTCATCCAAACCTGTTAACTTTCACTGCTTTATTTTCGTAGAAACGTTTTAAAAAAGCTATGAATGTAATTGGTGATTGGTGTGGATTGCTTATTAGTACAATACTTTTGGTAGAGCAATGTAGGTTGTCAAGACTTGTGTAGCACATTGTATTATATTTTTATAATATCTAAGATTGTAAGTCTAATCATATCGTTTATTCAAGCAATATCAGCTGTAAGAATATGTACACAATAACCTCAAGATTATGTACATATTATGTATCATAATATTCAGGTTTTGACAAAAGAAATTATAAAACTTCTTACATTCTTATGGGTGATATTAGGAAGAATCATGGGGATTATATTAGGAAGAAGCATGGGGATTATTTTGGGATTTGTGTCGCTAGGTATCCAGAAATTATAAAACTTCTTACATTCTCACAGGTGATATTGCCGGGGATGGAGGTGGTATTGCAGGTTATTTTTTTTGGTGAGTATTGCAGGTGATATTACATACTTATAAAATTGTTACATTCTTACATTCTTAGATGAAGTTTTATAAAACTGTTACTTCTTACATTCTCACATGTGATATTGCCGAGGATGAAGGTGATATTGCAGGTGATATTACATTCTTATGTAAGAATGTAACAGTTTTATAATTTCTTTTAGCTGGATAACTTTCTGCTAAACATGTTACCTTTCATTTGGCTATGTTATCTTTTAGCTGAATAAGTTATCTTTCACGTGAACATGTCAACTTTCTTCATAACATGTTAACTTTAATCTGAAGATGTTAATTTTCATTCGACTATGTTAAGTTTAACTTTTACATGTTAACTTTCATCATTATATGTTAACTCTCCTCATAACATGTTAATTTTCAGCTGAACATGTTAACTTTCATCATAATATGTTAACTTTCACTGTTACATGTAAACTTTAATAATAGAGGTCAAGCTTGCTGCATTGTTTGTCATCCACATCAACCGTTTACACAACTAAATTAATATAAACAATATAGACATGCACACAAGTTTTGGTTCAGTCAATCAAGTAGCAAGTTAGTTAGATATTTGATATTGGATAAAATAAAAAGATTAAAATTTTCAAATACTAGCATTCCAGACTGTTGCTCGCAAGGGACGACTTTATATCTGTACTTTCTCAAAATATTTTGGGGATCAAATCCAGGTTTCATATGATCCATGGAATTAATTACTTTAGTCATCGGTTCAATGCACACTATGCCCAGCTAAGCTATAATGCTTAACAACGTCCTCATCCAAATTAAGAAACTGGTTCTACACTACAATAGTTAGTTCCTCATCCAAATTAAGAAGATAAAAAATGAAGCAAGCAGTGATTCTACTACCTACAATATCGAAAAACTTCTCTATTACACCTGAAAGAACTAGATGCATTCCTTGCAACCACATCAAACCCTATCACATACATGTCTCCATGTATCCCTTCCCTCCTTTCACTTTTACAAGAAACAAATAATATCATCATCAACGTCATATCACCAGACCCCCTCTCATCTCAATCCACCATTAAACAAACACTCAAAACAAAATGAACCCTCCAGACAACAACAAGCACGGACAACCCTAAGTAAAACCAGTGCTCCACTAGGCCAGGCGCGTGAGCAGCACGTGCCTGCACCACCTGTCAAGGCCGGTGACCACGGGGCCGCTGCTGCTGTTCACGTCCATGTGCCTGGCGCTGGCTTACAAGAATAGGAACAGGAAGTGGGGACTGAAGGCGGCGCCGGCGGAGCAGCTGAGGTCGAGGCCGAGAACAACCGCACCCAAATAGGACAAACCCAGCTCCGCGGACCAAGAGGCCTCCCTGTGCTAGGCTCTCTCATCTCCCTCACCCGTGGCCAACCACACCGCACCCTTGCCCGACTCGCCCGCACCCACAAATCCACCCAGCTCCTCGCCTTCTCCGTGGGCTCCATCCCCGCCGTCATCTCCATCGACCCCGCCATCGCCAAGGAGATCCTCACCCACCCCAACTGCTGCTGTTCGCTGCTTATTGACGGAGGAGGCGGGGGAGGTCGGGGAGGGGGCCCGGGGAGGGGGTAGGGAGGACGGGTGGGGGGTGTGGGCAAGGGTCTGGAGAAGAAGAAGAAGAAGAGGAGGAGGAGAAGAAGAAGAAGAAGAAGAAGAGAGGGGAGAGGAGGCAGAGGAGAAGAAGAAGAAGAAGAGGGGAAGGGTAATTTCGGGAAAAAAATTTCTGGGAGAATGTGAAAGGGCTGAAACATAAGGGAAATAATATAGGGGGCTGGGTCACATCCGGTTTTTTGTTTTGGGGCCTTGAAACATTTTTCCCAAAAAAAAAACCCCTGATTGAATATGATTGACTATAAGTCTGTTGGAGCGTTGATTTCTATCTATTTACCAAAAAGTTCAAATGAGAATTCAAGTTAACTACTTGGCTAATTACATCAAACCTATCGATCTCCTTTTAACGTCATTAATCCAAATGAACTCGCTTTTGTTACCGAAATCGTAAGCTTCTTTCCTTACTTTTTACGTACCATTTTTGGATCTTTGCACGTGGGATCATTGACTCGAACTAAGAATCCAATTAATGTCAACACTTATCCCAACTCATCGCCCAGTACGCGTCGTTGGAAGTAAAAATTTAAGAAATGAATTAATTGAGGGCAATTTGGTTAATTTAACAAAATAAATAAATAAATAAATTGAGTAGAGTCGTAGTCTCGTAGTAGAGAACAAATTAATCAACTCCCTCATTTTCTTTTCTTTTTTTTTAAGAAAAAAGAAAAGAAAAGGGTCCAATCTATCAATTTCAGAACAAGAGAGAAAAGTCTAAATTGTAGAATGTTCTCCTGTGAAATCATCGACCATTTCTCCCCTCCTTCAAACTTGCAGACCGACGACCCTCACTCGTTTCCTCGTTCGTTCCGATGACACCCAAAAAATTGCGAAAAAGACGACCAACTTGCCCTAAAAAAATCCTCAAACTCCCTTTTCTATTTCCATTATAAATAACTTTTAAAAAAAAAAAAAACAATAATTGCGAATCTTTCGGTTGAAGGTAGAGATCCTTCGCATCGGGAGGATCGAAAATGGGGGTTTTGAACCGGAGGCTTGGTCAATTTCTCCGATCAAATTCCTTCCTTTTCCTCCTCTCGTCCGCGCTCGTCCTCGGATCCGTCGCCTTCGCCTTCTCTCGGATAGCCTTCTCGCCGTTTCGCAGCCCGGTCGCGTCGCCGGCGGCGGCGGAGGGGTGTCGGCCTGATGGAGAGGGATCCTGGGCCGTTGGAGTCTTCTATGGGGATTCACCGCTCTCTTTGAAACCAATCGAAGATGTAATTGATTGAGTCTCGCCGCAAAAA